CTCTGCAGAACTCCTTCGGGCCATACAACTGTTCCTTTTAAACAACTCAGTAGAATAAAAAGAAAACTGCATAAAGCCCAACTGGTAGACAGTTGGAGATTACTTCACCCAACAGAAAGGGATTATTCTTTTTACTCAAAAGTATATAACACTTATTCTAGAATCAATTACATATGGGTGGAACATTGTGATATACCTAATATTTCCTGTGAAGAAATTTTACCAGTGACCCTTTCAGATCACTCCCCAGTGATAGCAACAATTTCATTTGCACCACCCTTACCACGACCATTTAGTTGGAAGCTTAACGAAGCCTTACTTAGAGATAAGGGAATACAAAAGGATACTGAGCGGGATTAAGAAGACTTCTTTAGGGATAATATTTTATCTGTATTTTCCTCGGCGGTATTGTGGGAGGCACACAAAGTGGTTATTAGGGGTAGATTTATTTCCCAGGGGACTAGGAAAAAAAGGGAACGCATGTGTAGGGTAAAGGATCTTTTAAGTCAAATAAATAAATTGGAAGCCCTACATAAGCGCTCTCTTCAAATATCCTACTTGGCTGACCTACTGGCCCTGAGAGAGGAACTAAGGAATTTACTGTTTCAGCAGACTAAATATATATTTTTTTTGGTTTCAAGGCGATTTTATGAATGGGGGAATAAGTCGGGTAAACTATTAGCAAGGGCTATACGTCATAAGAGAACATCGGGTTTTATCCCTAAAGTTAAGTCTGCACAGTACCGGATGGTTCATTCTACCCGGGAGACTGCAGCCACTTTTAGGTAATTTTACCAGTCTTTGTATAATGTATCTGGGGAGAAAACACAAGAACAATTAGTCCTTGATAATAAGAGAATACAACAATATTTATCTAAAAAGGTATTCCCTAAAATAGAAGAGGAGACAAGGGTGGCCTTGGAGGGGGATATTACCCTGGAGGAATTAAAAAAGGCACTGGGTGCAATGCCGCTAGGTAAGAGCCCAGGCCCTGATGGGTTTTCGGTAGCGTATTATAGAACATATCAGGAAATACTGTTGCCCCATCTATTAGATTACATTAATCCACTTACACTAGGAGGACACTTAGCACAGGAAACGTCATTGGCACATATTACTGTGATCCCCAAAATGGGAAAGGACCCTACGAGCCCAGCTAGTTACAGACCTATATCTTTGTTGAATAATGACATCAAATTGTATGCAAAGGTACTGGCCTCTAGAATACAGCAGTATCTCCCGCAATTAATTGATTCTGATCAAACAGGCTTTATCCCGGGTAGAGAAACCCGAGATGGTGTCCTGCGTACAATTTCTATTATCCACTATGTACGAAGAGGGTCGCACAATTCGCTGCTGCTCTCTACGGTTCCAAAAAGGCATTCGACAGAGTGGACTGGAATTATTTGTTTAGTATTTTAGAACATTTTGGGTTTGGCCAGAGAATGATATCGAGAATACAGGCAATGTATCACTTGCCAATGGCCCAGATTAAAATTAATGGTTCTCTATCACAATCCTTTCAAGTATATAATGGGACCCGACAAGGATGCCCTCTTTCCCCTATTCTTTTTGCTTTTTTTATAGAACCATTATTAATTTCAATTAGGGAAAACCCCAGCATACACGGAGTAAGGGTGGGAGGTTGTGTACATAAATTAGCAGCATATGCAGCTGACATACTTTTTTACATCCAGCAACCGCATATAACAATCCTAAATTTTATGAAGGAATTTGAGATATTTGGCCAGATCTTCAATCTAAAAATAAATATAAATAAATCAGAGATATTGAATATTAATATTCCTAAAGAAGTCGAAGCTCAATTACATCCCCTTTTTCCCTTTAGTTGGCAGAAACAGAAGATGAAGCATCTGGGGATCTATTTAACTGCGAAGCTGTTATATTAGGTTAACCTCGTTCCTATGCTGAATGGATTGAATGAGGAGTTTTGCAGTTGGAAACATTTGATTATCTCTTGGTTGGGTAGGATAAATTTGGTAAAAATGAATATCTTGCCTAAATTTTTATTCTTATTTCAGACGTTCCCAGTTACGATCCCCAAGAAATACTTATCTTTATTACAATCTAAGGTTAATAAATTTGTATGGGGCTCTGGTCATATTAGAATTTTACATAAGACACTTATGCGTCCTAAATTGAAAGGGGGCTTTGGTTTACCAGACTTCAATAAATATTATATGGCTGCCTCTCTATCGTGGATAGCGGAATGGATATCTCCCACATCTGATAAATGTGGCTTAGAGGGTACATTGGAGCACATATGCTGGTCGTGCCCAATTATTCAGGGTTATTGGCAGAAGGTAATCGATTATATATGTGCTATAACAAATCAAAAGGTTCCCCTTGAACCATGGACATGTTTGTTCCATTGCACAGATTCCCCTGTAGGGAAATATAGGAGATCTTTAATTACATTTTTGCTGAATGCGGCAAAGGCGAATATCTCTAGATCTTGGAGACGTTTGTCAGAACCGGATATTCGCACTTGGTTCCAAATCATTGGCCATTATAGTGAAATGGAGGAGCTTACAGCTGCTCTAAAAAATTCATGTACCTCATGTGGTGGAATATATAAAGAAGCTAGGTGTTTGAGATTTGGGTGAGAGAATAGATATGTAGTGGTTCAGAGTTGAGCGTAACAGAAGAAATAGCTGATTATCATTCTCATTTAGAAAAATAAATAAAACTCTGGAGGTATAGTAATAATCGGTAGATGTATGGTGGATTTATGTATTTATGAAAAGGTTCTGTGTTTGTATAGGTGGGTGTGTGTGCATGTATATGCATGTACACATATAATGTATTATTTATTTATTTTTTATGTATGTGTGTATATATGTATATTTATATATTATCCTCAGATGGGTATTTCTAACACAATAATAATATTTAGAGGATTTTACCTCTTCGTATGAGTCACTGGAATTGGATATTCAAGTTTATTGATATGTAATTTAACCTTTAACACCTTCAGGGATCCAAAAATACCCAAAATACATATAATTGGAGTATTAGAAATATGAACTCCTAAGGCTATATTTATTATGTCCACTATTCCCTGCCAATATTGTTTCAACTTCGGGCATCTCCACAGCAGATGTATAAACAAACCTGGTTCAAACCCACACTTTGGGCATTTAGATTCTTCCCTGAGTCCTATCCTATATAGGAATTCAGGGGTCCGGTATGTTCTGTCCCCTTTGACCTCGGTGGCACGGACGGACTTTTGTGGAGCGTTCGGAGCCCGCTCCTTGAGGGGGGGTACTGTTAGGATCCAGAGCGCCTCCAGGTGGCCCTGGAGCAAAGCCCTGCAGCTCCTGTGCTCACCTGCAGGTGTCTCCAGGCAGCCATGAGCTGATTGTGGACCACAATCCAGTCTGCAGATTGATCCTCAACTAAGCGCATTGGGCTATTTGTTTTCAGCCATTGGGAGTCGGTGAGTGCATACCCTGAAGGGACCCACATTTTTTGTTTTAAAAACTACGGATGTTTTCTTCACTTATGGGTGGATTTCAAATGGATGAACTTTATGATTACATTCACCAGCACAATACTAAAAAGTTAATTTTATTGGGTATTTTGAGACCCACCTAATTTACTGTGGATGATTCTTTGCTTATGCAGGATTACTCTATTTATATATTTATTTATCATTGATCACTTATGAATTATATATCACGTAGTTATCATTGGTCACATATACATTGGGGAATTCAACCCTTTTTTTCTTATCACTGTTATTATTTTATAATGAATATGTGTATGAGACCGATCAACTATTACTAGTGTTTTGCATTTTGCACATATTTATGCACTTTATAAACATTTCGGTGTTAACTATTTAGGTTGAGGTCCTTTAGCGCTCTCTAATTTCCATTATTCAGTATACCTCACCCTTCTTTACCAGAGAACTTTCACACCTAAGGGGTTCCACAAGTTATTTTGTCACCAAAGAGTGAGAAATCAGACCTGTCTGACTTCGCCAGATATATGATACGCCTTGAGCTCATTAGCATTAGCCTCTCAAGGTTCGACGACTGTCCAGAGAACTACAGGGCATGGAGATCAACTCTCATCCTTACTACCAAGGATGAACTTGATTTGCTTATAAAGTGGCTGGAACCAGAATCTGCAGATCGTGTTAAAAGACTGAGAGCAATGCATGTTGACTACCCAGATGCAGGTCTTATTGCTGCATGGGCAAGACTTGAGCAACCCTATGGTAGCTCTGAAGCCATAGAAAGCGGTCTGTTCAAGAGACTGCAAAACTACCCAAAAATAGGGAACAAAGATCATCGTAAGCTCCAAGAACTAGGTGGGCTCCTCATGGAGCTAGAGTTGGCAAAGACAGACCCATGTCTACCTGGACTAAGCTTCCTGGACACTGCCCACGGCGTGAATCCAGTGGTTTCTAAACTGCCAAACGGCCTGCAAGAGAAATGGACGCCACAGGGCCCAAGATACAAAAGAGACTATGACGTATGATTTCCTCTCATATTTTTGCAGGTTTATCAGTGAACAAGCCTGGACGAGAAATGATCCCAGCTTCAGCTTCGGTGAACCCAACTTGCCTGCTTCATCATAACCAAGGTATGATAACACAGCAGCTAAACATAGAGACTTTAATAGAACAATATCTGTTAAAAGGACAGACATCTCATCTTCAATAACCTCTCCTACTGATCAGAGTGTTGTGGACGATAGAGATAAAGATCCTAATTGTCAGTGCCCTATTCACAAGAAACCTCATCCTCTTAAAAAATGTCATGAGCTTAGGGCAAAGACTTTACAAGAGAGCAGGGAGATTCTCCAGAAACTTGGAGTATGCTATAGGTGCTGTGCTTCCTATGATCATTTTGCTAAAGACTGTAAAGTTGTCATCAAGTGCACAGAATGCAGTAGCGACAAATATGTTACAGCTATGCATCATACTTCACTTCCAGACAACCCACAGCAGCCTTCTACATCAAACCCTCTTTCAAATCATGGCGGGGAGCAACAAAGTCATGCTCCAGCCACAACAAGTGTTTCTTCTTCATGTACTGTAGTCTGTGGAGAGAGTCATGCGCAACCACCTGCAACGGTTACATCAAAATGTAGTGAACTACTTCACAAATGACTTTGGAGAAAGACCCTTGCAAGAATAGTTCTTGGCAAGGTGTTTCGCCAAGGACAACCTGAAAAAAGCAGTCAAGATGTATGCTGTTTATGATGACCAAAGCTGTCACTCACTTGCCACGTCAGAGTGCTTCGACTTAAAGGGTAACGTGCTGTCCTATACATTGCACACCTGTGCTGGTTCAGTGGAAGTTTCAGGAAGAACAACTTATGCTTCCGATTTCATCATTGCTCCTACAGAGGGAACAGAGCAGATTCCTCTTGCTGGTCTCATTGAGTGCAATCAGTTGAGCAATCAGTTAATACAACCATCGGAGTCAGAATATTTATTATTACCCCAATTTTTTGTAAAATATAAAAGACGGGGTCATGTTGGGTAAACAGACACCGAACATGTCAAGCTTTAAAATTGTGTGCGGCCGCGAAATTGCAAAACACTACCATAACCAAAATTGTCCACGGTAAAATGTAACATGTGCGGCACAATGGGCGCAATCATCATTTTCACATGTAGGTGCACCCGACACATGTTTGCGGGGGACTTTGACATTTTTTATGTGTTTTTTTTTAAATTTCTAATTTTTTTATGTGACAATTTTTTTTTAACTTTAATTTTAACTTTTTTTTCACTTAACTTTATTGCTATCACATAGGGGGATAAGAATCCCCCTACGTGATAGTAAATTTACAGTGACAGGTCCTCTTTATGGAGACGTCTCTAAGACCCCTAATGTCACCTAGGGACCCCCAAAGAAGCTGATCAAGCAAAGGTCTGCTTCACCAGCTTCTCTCTGGCTTCCTTAGCCAGAGAATTAAAAATACATCACTTCCTGCATTCAGAGAATGGGGAGGAGATCAGAGGGAGATTCGGGGGGGCACACCGAACGGCACCACATACAAGCAATCAGACGGCTCTACAGCCGACGTACCACTTGTATGTAAACACTGACAAGCTGTGCTGCCCATCTACTCCCTCCTGTCCCGAGGCCATAGCCTCGGTGGCCTTGTGGGAAATCCGTTTTTAGTGTTTTGCAGAGTACGGTCCAGTTTTGGAGCTGTGGCACAACCTGTAGGTGTGACCCAGTCTCTCTTAATGCATTCAATGATTAAGGCCAGATGGGCTGCAGTAAAGGGAACTATGTCACAATTTTAACCATTAGGCACCTTTTTTTCAGAATTAACACCCTTTTTACTGAGGCAAGGATTCTGCCTGAGAGAACTTAGTCCTGAGGGCAATGAGCTTGAAACAGTGCTTCACACATGCACTCCTTGTTCCTTCCCCACCCTTCAGCTCAGTAGGAAGCATTTTCCATCTGCTTCCGCTGTTTAAATTGCATTTTGGATCATTTGGCCTCCATTTTACTTTTACTGCCTGCCTACCGTGACTTGTTCACTTCAGGCCACCTACAACCCTTATCAGCTCCTACCAACTTGGTTTGTTAGAACACAGGAGATCAGCTGATGAGACCAAAGTACCCCAATTTTCTGTTAGTTTCCATCACACAAAGTTTTTATTGAAAATAAAAAGGCAGGAGGCGTGTCCAAGATGGCGACCGGAGCACACGTGTAGTAACTGTGCTCCGCCACCTATCCTACTATCCTGTTTTCCCAGGCCCCGTGAAGCGCTCAAGTGGTCGGTGGATTACACCCAGATCAAGTCCTGCCCTAAGAGCCAAGGGGATCAGATACAGCATGCTCTTCCCGGCGCGCTTGCGGGTGCAGGATGGGGAGGCTGCTTGCTTCTTTACTGATCCGGAGGAGGCCTGCAAATGGGTCGAACATCTGCCCAAGACCTGAGATTTCTAGCCGCTGTTTGGATTTCTATTAAGGGGGGAGAAGGATGGATCGCGAGACCCCTCTCCTGTATATTCCGGACCGGGAAGGTCGACTCCTATGGTTCTATTTCCTATATTTGTTATCCACTATTGTTTTTGATTTTGGACTGCTACCTTCTTTTTGTTATCCCAGACCTAGGACGCTTCGATCTCCGGGAATCTATAGTGTTGCGGTGGATATGATCCTGCACAGATTTCTGCCTAGAGTGCCTGAGAACGCCACTGGTCGGATACGAGTCGGTTTGCAGGGTTCTCACATGTTTGCAACAAAGACTGTACCCTCATAGAACTTGAGTGTTTCCACGGGGCACACCTTCTGCTTTTCAGAGGTGGGGCCCCTCCTGTAACGACTGTTCATTTAAGTTTCTAGTCACTAGAGTTGTGACATCCCCTACTGGCTGGTTGCCATATTGATATTCCTGCTGGTATGTGGAGAGACGCTGCGGGCTCCTAAGGCAACAAAGCTTCTTATATTCCATGTGGTTTTCTATGCCCGCAGGGAAATTATTCTGAGGTGGAAGCTGCCCTCCCCTCCTACGGTGGGACAATGGTTGGGCACGATTGATGCTTCCGATATACAGACTAACATATATGGGCCGGAACTGTGCTCGCAAATTTGATCGGATCTGGGGAGAGTGGGTGGCGGCTAGGGGTCTCACCCTAGAGGGCCCTGGAGGGGAGACCTTGCTCCCGCCTGCATCGCCTGAGAGGTAGTCCGGAGGAAGTGGACTGAGGTCTCGAGAGTTGGGGGGGAAATGAGTGACGTGGTTGACCGGAGAGGAGTTCCTGAGAACACCCCCCCCCCAGCCCTCCGCCAATCACTGGGGATCCTACCAGTCATTAAGGAGTCCTTAAAAATGAGGATTAATGGGCTAGTTATAACCTGGCTTAATTCCACACAAAAAGGCACACAACAAAGTACAAAATGTCAGTAAACCATAGAAAAGGTACCATGAGTTAACAATAAACTATAAAAGAAAACGTTGAACATGAGCAATTATAAAAAGCTGCACAGTGACGGCAATGCCCCAGTGGGAAAAGGAATGAGATATATATAATACTAAAGAGCGGGGACCGCAATGGACTGGGAATGAGAATGGAAGAGGATATTTATGTCTCTAAAGAAGGGTGGAGAGAAGTAGGAGGGAGAGTAAAAAGGAAAGGGAAGTAAAAAGCTAAGGAAGAAGAAAGGTAGATAAAGCATTGATCTAAGAAAAGAATAAACCTTGGAAGAAAGAAAGAGAAGGCAAGAGGAGCAAGAAAAGGGAAAAAGAAGAAAGGTGGGCGGCAGCCCAAAGATGGGTCCTTGAACCTCAGGATTATTATGCTACATAAAATATGTTGAGATTCAATTCCGGGAGCTCCGACCTATACTAGGGAGACCATACTTTCTGGAATTTGTTGTATGAATCTGTAATGAGCTATGGTTTGTTTAAGGGCTAGACAAATAAAGTTATAGATTTTTGACCAAAAATGGATTGTGAGGGGACAGGAACACCACATATGCCTGACATCACCCTCCGCTCTACAACAGTAGCAGTTATTGGGATATGAAGGGAGGAAGTGAGCTATTCTAAAGGGAACTAGATACCATCTTATGAGAACTTTATAGGCCGACTCCTGAGAGGTTATGTTGCTAGAACATTTGGAGGCCCATATCGAGGCCCAATCTTTAGGGGTCTTATTGGACCCCAAGTCCCTATGCCACTTTGTGACATAATCTGTAGACAGAGGAGAGGATGGAGCGTTCATCTGCAAATAAAGTGCTAAAATGAGTTTTGGAGCATGGGGATTTTTAGAACAAATATGTTCAAAAACCGTTAGAGTGGAGGATACTTCGTGACCCCTAAGAGGAGATTGGATACAGTGCCGTATTTGAATGCTGGAAAAATTCCCTCTTATGGGATTGGGATTTGGAAACAATGAACTCCCAAGATAAGATTGTAGCGCCATTGAGAAATTGGCAAGACAGGCAATAGGCTAAAGGATCTTCAATCGCAGGGAGGAACATAGAGTTACCCAGGAGAGAGATGAGGGGAAGATGAGGGGAAATTTGACCCATACCTGTAGAAGGTGATGAAGAAGGGGACTAAGAGAGATGGTGGTCTGTGGGCATTGGGGAGCCAAGGTATAGTAAAAAACGGTAGGGATGCACCGATATATCGGCTGCCGAAACATATCGGACGAAAATTGCATTTTAGGCTAAATGCCGAAAGTGCCATTTTCCTGCCGATCCATCAGCACATCCCAGGTTTCTCTCCTCCCCGCTGGGCGCTGCTCTGTGTGCCAGCGGGGAGGAGAGAAAGTGACAGCCGGCCGAGCGCTGCGTGAGGAGAGCGCTGTGAGCGGCCGGTGTCTCTCCTCCCACACCGCTCGGCCAACCTATCACAGTGTGGCATAACGGTGTGGTCTAAACAGACCCCTGATAGTTCTCCGGTGTGGGGGCGGAGACAGCAATTTCACAGGAGGCTGGGCTCTCCTCTCGCACTGCTCACTCAGCCTCCTGTGATAGCGTGTCAGAGAGGAGAGCAGGCTACAAAAACTCAGCGATCAGTGATCGCTGAGTGTTTGTTGATAATTGAGGATATGGTATGTGTACTGTATCCTCAATTATGAATGAATGGGAGTGATCTATATCCACTCCTGTTCATTCATAATTGTGGTTATAGTAAACATACTATATTCTCAAGTTATCAATGAACAGGAACACTCATAGAGGATTCCTGTTCATTTAAAACAGGGCATACAGAAAAAGAGATTGAGGACTCTGTGTTCTTTATCTATTTTAAAAGGGAACTAATATTTCCCCAAAGCCCCTAAAAGTAAAGTAAAAAATAAAAATATTTAATAAAAAATGAATAAAAAGAAATATAAAAAATGTAAAAGTTTATAAAAAATAAATCAAAATAAAATATTTGAAAAAAATCAAAATAAAAACATTTTCGGTATCGGTTTCGGAGATACATGGTTCGCTGAGCCACCCTGGGGCGCTGATGATGCCATAGAAAGAACATAACCTCGTTTTGTAGGAAACTTAGGGCAAACATGAGACAGAAACCGGTAGAGTCCTAAAATAATACAGAAGTTTAGGAAG